AATATAGATTTCTGAAGTATTTTGTTCAATTTTCTAAGTGTCGGAAAAATGTTTTTTTTATGGAAAAAGAAAAAAGTACAAAAGTGAGCTTTTTTCACGGATTTTGCTAGAAAATTCTATTAGAAGCTCAACTAAAATGCATATTATTCATCTCAACCTTTCGCATTTTGTAGATCTTCGATTAGTGGATTGAATTTACACTTGATAATTGAAAATTCACTGTAAACAACTTATCAAATATGTTTGTTCTTAAAAAGTCCAATTGAAAATCTTACAAGAAACAGATCAAGAGAATCTATAATATATGATTCGATGCATCTTCATCTCCTCTTTCTAACGGTGAAAACCGCAGTTCTTTATCTTGCTTCTGTCAAAAGTTATTCAAAAAATATTAACTCGTATTTTTTCAAAATTAGTATGAATACTACCGGCACATAAGCAGCCGAAATAGGTTTTAAAGATAATTTAATATTATGATATTAGTTGAAGTACGATCAAATAGCATAGAAAGACAGCTTTTTTTTCTCTATCAGATTATATAGATGAAAGTTACTTTAAATATACTGTACGGTATTAAAGTGTCACTGCCCGTAATTTTGATATGCCCTAAGTAATAATGACAGAAACGTTAGCTGCAATTTTCTTGAGAATATGAATGCTGGCACAGTTCAATGTTTGAAAATGTGTATATTGATCAAATTGGCACGTGCTATAATTATGACTCTACATATAGACAAAATTACAGAAGTACAGATTTGTAATAACACGTAAAAAATTATAAAATTTAACTGTAGAAAATATTTTCAGATTCAAAGTCAGTTTATTCCTTTATCTGGTAATTCCAGAGTACTGTTGTTTCTTTTAGATCGAGAGCCACAGCAACAAGAAGCAGTGGAGTTTTCTTGTTTAACTTTTGTATCACTAAAACGCACAATTGTTTCATGAACATTTAAATGAATCTTATTGCAAACGAATACATAATGCCAAAAGTCCATTGAAAACCATAAATGTTGTTATTGTTTGTTAGCAAAAAGAAACAACTGAAAGTGGAATTACAACTCGGTATCAATGCTGATTGAGATAAGTGTTAATAGTACAAAAACATTTATACAAAACAGAATGATGTCTGATGAAATGAATTGTGGTTGTTCAAAGGAACTTCTGCAGGTAACGGTGCCCTGTGCACATAACTTCTGGAGTACCCTAAGGCAGTATCTTGGGGCCAATTTGGTGCCACCAATACCTTTCTGGAAAACAACTTTCAATTGATAAAAATATAAAACGATTAGGAGTATATCTCTCACCGGATCTTAGGTGGAAACATCATTTAGAAAAAACTAGTAAGAGGTGTAGATAAATGTTAGGAGCTTTAAATAAAACTTTTAAGAGCGCATCCGAGTTTATAAGGCTGCATATTTTACAAAGCATGTATTCCACTTGTAATGGATTATTGTTATGTTGGATAACGATTTCAAAACTCATTTAGATTTACTAACATCAACACACAAATTTGCTGCACGTATTATAACTAACGACTATCATTTTAGCAGTTATTTTCTTCTTAAAAAGCTGAAGTTGCCTAATTTAGAAAGCCGCCGCAAATACTTTAGGTTAATGTATTTTCATAAAATGATTATAAAAAGAAGTACATTGTCATATTTTTCACTGATAAAATCACTAACTACTCGAGCTTCGGCTCGACTTTCAAATCGATGTGCTTAGGAGGTACCGAAGTATAAACGAAAAAACACAAGTTCATCTTTAAACAATTTTACAGTGGAATGTGTTGCCAAAGGAGGTGATTTCTCAATTTTCTATTAGAGCCTTTAAACGTGCCATTTTAAAGCTGTAATAAAGGTATAGATAATTGTAACAACAGTATCTTATAAGTCATATTTGCTTGAGTTTTCTTTTTTTCTTTTCTTTGATCTTCTGTATTTTCTTTTGAAATTTTGTTGTTTTTTTATACGGTGTGACTTAGTCAAAGCTCTTTAGAACCTTTTTGTTATTCCTGTCATTTAATAACGTGACTTTATAATAAAATTCTTATGTTAATTGTTAAGTTATGCAGGTGATTAAAAGATTTGTTGATATGAAGAAAATGTCTCATTTCGATCCACTAGCAGTCTCATTTGATAAAATATATCATGAAAAAGTAAATTGGTAAGTAATATTGATGTTATATATTCTGTTATGTATTTTGTATAAAGAATTAATCTAACGATAAAAATAGATACTGGAACAAATAAAACAATGATTAAATAAAATTCATATATTTTAGAAGAATAAAATCTAAGAATACATCGATGAATTTTTATTAAATTGACAATTAATTTCGATGATAGTTTATGAGATTGGGTAACGATCATTAAAAAAACTTTCATTAAAGTGTTAATTTAATGAAAGTCCGATATCCCAGTTTATACCAGACAAAACTATTTGCTATAATTTCAATAAATTTTTAGTTGTGTCACAATAATACGTAATGCACAAAATATCATCAGCATATGTGCTATTATGTGTATTATTATAAAAATAATCGATTTGTTATTGGACTGTTGAAAGAGAATCAACAAATTTATGTAGATATAATAAATGGCATCTATAATATTCAATTTCATTTGAATTATTTTTAATATTTAACATGTAAAATTGACATGATTCAGAACAGAATTGTTCAGTATATACTTTTCCAATAATACTCATACTAATTACAGTCAATTGTAGTGGAACAGAATATAAATAAACATGGAAAAAACTTTCCTTACTTGTCAATGATATTAATTTCTCATGTACATAACATTCTGATTCTTCGATAATTCCATTTCGTAGTCTGTTTGGTAAAGTTGAAAACCTCGTCGACTAACTTTGTTTTACTTCGTAAAACTCTTTACCGGATAATAATAAAGCAACATTATTTCGACATCGACATCAATACGATCGACATTTATAGCATTTACGAACGATGAAAACTATTGTCAATATGGCAAAACTTCCATAAAATGTTGTCCTGAATACTGAAATTGGGCAAAAGAGAAGAGCGTGTAACTCTCGAAGTTTTTTAGCTTAGCCACCTCCTTCTCTTTGGTGCTCTCATTCTCATTGGTAAAAAATATTAAAAAATCTCGTTTTACTTTAAACGTAATTAATTCTCACTTGTCATTTTTACTCAATTTGTCTCCCTTTCTTAGTGTGTTGTCGTTAGTAGTAAAAACCTGTGTAAATCATTATTTTTCCACCTAACAAAACCACTCGAAAACTATTTACTTTTATACTGATTTTTCGACTCTTCTCTGACTTTTCAATTTTGACTTTCTTTTACTATGTTTCAAAACTTGTGCTTTCTTATCTTTTCATTCATCATGTGTGTGAAAGAAGGTGAGTTTGAATTATTCGACGTAAACAAATTGTCATGGGCAAAGGTACATATACATACATACGTGGTTCTCGGTTTACAAAATGTGAGCTCTGCTGGTCCAACTTCTTTACAATTCCTTTGGCTATTGTACTCACGTTTTCCATTGTGCTGTACGTTAAGGGATATCGTGAAAACAAACGATTTATTCCTGTACGCTGCCATACTCTGAATTCAACAACAGAAGAAAAAGAATGTGTGGTGACCACTAGCAAGTACCAGACAGTTCGTTATACGTGTTTTGATGTATATATCATTGTTAGCTATCATGCTCACTCAAAATTTCGGGATCGTTTTAAAACCTTTACATTTACCAAGGGAACAAGACGAGAAGCAGCTGATTTCATTAACAATAATACAGTAAGATTCATCAGTCATCAGTAGAATTTCATTATTTCCTGCTATTTAAATCAAAAGAAATCCAAAAGATTGCTCGTTTTCCAATTTTAATTAGCGAAAATTGATAAAAGAAACTAACTGGAAGATATCTTTCATTAAAAATGCAGTGATTTTTCTGATTTTTACTAAGTTTTGTATTGTAGATTGGTCATCATCGTTCCTGTTTCATGGATAAAACTAATTCTGAACGTGTTATATGGAACGCACCTAATTTTACAGTTCATCGATTTCCCTTTATGATTATATCTTTGGTAGGATTTATAATTTGCATGATTAGCTCACTGTGTTCTATTCGAACATATTATCGCCAGAAATATCAAACAACTTCAACAGATGATAATTGATTATCAACAGCAGTTTTCATTTTTGAAAAGTGCACGTAATGAAAAGACAGTTGAATGTAAATATAATATATATATGTAAAACTGCCAAAAAGCAATCACGAGGAAGAAATTAACCTATGATTTTTATTTTATTTTCGGATTCTACAAACAAATCTGGAATCACGAAAAATGCTTTACCTCTGCTGACTTATTTTGAGAGAGTTATAGAATTTGCAAAATGATAACTATCGAAGATTTGCGAAAACTCCAGTAAAAGGTCATAGCTTCGCCATATTTTGTATGTTCTCTTTGAGCAACACTTCATTTGAAAGCCTATCTGAAACTGAACAAAATTACATATTTTCAACTGCATCAGATGACGTACCTTTGAAGTTATTTGGAGGAATAAAAAAATTTTAGCACTTTTTCAACTTTTTTATGTTCAATATAAGCAATTTTTGGCAGGAAGTTTTATTCCTCCAAATAACTTCAAAGGTACCTCATCTGATGCAGTTTTCGACGCTGATTCTAAATATCTCCTTATTTGTGAATTTTGATTACGTTTCGTGCCAGAAACGTCGAATGCTGTCTGTTAGTCATCTTGTTTTCAAATTTTGGAACCTTTGCATCACTTTTAAACTCAGTTTGTAAAAAACTGAATTTTCTATCGCATGTGACCTTCGAATTTTTTGAGAAATTCTGTTTAAAGGCGCAGAAGTGGCATTTATTCGAAAAATTTACCCTCTCAAAGTGCAAATCTCTCACCTGATGTGGCCTTTAAACTGTCACTTTTCATCTTAAAAAAATTTGAAAATCTGTGATTTTGTTCAGTTTCAGATAGGCTTTCAAATGATTATTATTAATCAATGTATCATTTGTGTTATTATTTTAAATGGTAGGATTGGATCACGATCAAACATTAATTTGAAAGGTTTCAACTGAGTTGTTGTTTGCTTGGAGGTGTTGTATGCAAATGTCACAAATGGTAAATATTCATCCCAGTCAGTTTGTTGTTGATTGACATAGGTACCAATTGAACCGGCTAGTGTTGCATTAAATCGTTCTGTTAAGCCATTTGTTTGTGGATGATAGGTTGTTGTTTTGATATGATTGCTTCCATACCCTGAGGAGATGGCTCAAGAGACACTGGCCACGAAATGGGTGTCTTGATCAGCAATTAGTTGTTTCGGCACGCCATATTGTAATATCACTTTTCCACGAGAAATTTAGCTGCTGTCTCAGCTGTTCAATTTGCTGTTGCTTGAGTAATTGCCCACCTGGATAAATAATCAGTGCAGAGTAATATACATTTGTTATCAGATGTTGATTGTGAAACAGGATCAAGAAAATCTAATCCCGTTAAATCTAATACACCAGTTGATACTTCAATTGGTTCTGATGTGTCAGCTGGTTTTGCCAGTGAAATTTTAAATTGCTGATATTTTGAGCATGAAATAAGATATTGTTTGATGGTGTTATACGCAAAACCAAATTTTGTCGTCACGAGTTTAGGCGTATCAATTGCCATCGGAGACGAGCCAATAGTTAGTTCGTTGCAGTGATGCACGGAGCTCGGTTTTTTCAATGTCGTCTCGCCTCGCCCCGGAAACTTTCGTTAGTTCTCGTACGACTTGCTGGCAAGACACAAGTTTGAAAAAACGATGCGTGGTAGAATAGTGTCATGCAAACAGTAGTTGTTGGGCATAATGCAGAACAAGACTTGACCAAGCCACGTTATTTATTTAGTAGAAAACTTTCATAGCAAAAAGTCATCGGAGAGCCTTATTTCAGACATTTTTACGAACGAAACGAACCTTGGAAAAAGTTGAAATTTAGCACCACAAATTTGTTTGAAATTCATTAAAGTAAAATTGGATCTGTTAGTTGACAACAATGCAGTACAAAAAAAATGTCAGTACAAAACCAAATGAAGGAACTAATCTTTAACACATTAACAGAGACTTCGCGACTCAGTCGAGCATTGCTTCCGAGGTCAGTGGAATGGTCGAAATTAACATACATGTTTTTTCATATTTTTGGATTCTACGATCAAAAGTGGGGTTATGAAAAATTTTTTAGCCCG